TGTACAAAAAAAAAAAAAAAAATCTTCATCACCCCCCACAAGTAATACAGTGTCACCATGGTGACACTATACTGTTAGGGTGACAGTATATAAAAAAATACAATAAAAAAATAAATTTAAAAAAAAAAAATGTTTAAAAATTATAATTTTTGGTTATAAACTAATTTGGATTTTTTTTTTTTTTTTTTTTTACTAAAAAGATAACGGAATACATTTTGGCAAAGATTTATGATGAAATATTATTTATTTGCAAAATTTTATAAAAAAAAACACTTTTTAAAAAAAATTTTTGGACTTTTACATAGCAAAAAAAATAAAAATCCCAGCGGTGAATAAATACCACCAAAATAAAGCTTTATCTGTCTCAAAAAAAAATGGTAAAAACTTCATTTGGGTACAGTGTTACATGACCGCGCAATTGTCATTCAAAGTGTGATAGCGCTGAAAGCTGAAAATTGCCCCGGACAGGAAGGGGGTAAAAGTGTCCGGTCTGGAAGTGGTTAAAAATCTTAACTCCCAGCAAGTGGCTGGGGATTGGGATTTTTCGCCTGTTCCGACAGCCGCCATAGCTGTATATAGGCAGTATGAGATCTGCTGCCTTTGACTTTTATGCAGGCCATAGACGGGTTGAAAATCGGCCATAAAAAAAAAAAAATCAGCCGATTTTCGCACCGTTAATGGGTTAATTGGTCGGCCGGAGAGCAGGGGCCGGTCTGATCGTAACATGTTATGAAAGGTGAACTTATCCTTTAGGGCTCGTTCACACTAGGCTGTTTTACCAACGCTTGCCAAACGCCCCTATAGTATTTGGCAAGCATTGGTCCTGCGTTTGCGGAGCGTTTTTTAACACTCGTCAAACGCTCCGCAAACGCCTGCGCGGTTTAGCGGCGGTTGCTAGGCGTTTGCCGAACGTTAATAACGCCCCACAAACGCCTATAATGCAGTTTGAGTGGTGTTACTGCTCCGCAAACTCCTCGCAAACGCCGCCCGGGTGTTTGTGGAGCGGCACCATAGACAAGAATAGGAGGCTTCAACTCCTCCTGACTCGACCAGAGGCGTCCGTTTTGCCACGACACAACGCAAACGCTCCCGTTAGAACAGCACCATGTGCTGTAATGTGCAGAATTGGCAGGTAAAAACGCTTCCCAAACGCCTCTCTGCCGGCTGTACACAACGCTAGTGTGAACGTAGCCTTAAAGATAATGTATAATGGATGGAGGTTTTAACTAATCTTCAGGTCGAAGATGTGCATTTTACTGTGTTCGGAAAAAAAACAAAAACTGCTGTGGCAGGGAGAGGGTTCAAAAACCAACAACCACAAACCTGAATTATTGGTGTTAGGAGAAATTGATCTTTTGAAGGTGCTTATACATGTATGAAAAGGTTGCCTTAGACCCTTAATGCCTATACATGGCCTGTGTAGGGCCGGCACTGACTTTTAAGCTGGAGAGAGATATTCAGATAATATGACGATACATTTACAGCGCTGAGCGAACTATTGGCGCTTTATAAATACTGTATAATAATAATAATAATTTTCTCCAGTCCTAGAACACAAACGTAGCAACTGACTGTACTCACTACAGCTAGAGCCAAGGCTCATTAGATTTGGTCACAAGAAAAATTGACTTGCTTGTTTTGTGCGCAACCAGTTTGGCTTTTTCGAACCCAAGTAGTAGTAGTACTGCGTTACTGTCCTGTTTATCTGAACCTAACCATTCCTGTGCAAAACGTATTTAAAACTACTTGCCAACCGCAGATGGCCGAATGACGGCTACACTGCGGCCAGCCAGTTCTGGGAGGGTGTCATATGACGTCCTCCCAGAACGGGCTCTCCTGCGCACCCCCGGCGATCTCCGTGATAGCTGTGTCCTACGGACACAGCTGATCACGTGATGTGGTAAAAGGCCAATCACAGCGGCCTTTTACCACGTGATCAGCCGTGTCCAATGACACGCTGATCACCTGGAAATGCAATTGCCGGTTCTCGGCTGCACTTTCCTCATGCTGTCAGAGTGCGAGGAAAGTACTGCCGAGAACCGGCAGTTGTCAGAGCAGGGATTGGCACCGATCAGTGCCCTGATGATCGGTGCCCAGCAGTGCCACCCACCAGTTCCTCCCACCTGTGCCCAGCAGTGCCATCCACCTGTGCCCAGAAGTGCCACCCACCTGTGCCAATCAATGCAGTGCTGCCAGTCAGTGCCCAACAGTTGCGCCAGTCAGTGCCCAGCAGTTGCGCCAGTCAGTGCCCAGCAGTTGCGCCAGTCAGTGGCACCTCAGTGCCGCCTCTCCATGCCACCTCATCAGTGCTGCCTATCAGTGCCCATCAGTGCTGCCTCAACGCACATCAGTGAAGGAGAAAAATTACCTGTTTGAAAATTTTTATAATAGAAACAAAGAATTTTTTATTTTTTTTTTTCGAATTTTTTTGCACTTTTTTTGTTTATAGCACAAAAAGTAAAGCGCCCAGCGGCGATTAAATACCACCAAAAGAAAGCTCCTATTTGTGAGAAAATTATAATTTCATATGGGTACAATCTTGCATGACCGCACAATTGTCAAAGCGCGACAGCGCTGAAAGCTGAAAATTGGCCTGGTAAAGAAGGGGGTATAAGTGCCCGGTAGGCAAGTGGTTAAAACACTGACTGCCAGACATTATAGCAGGGGACTCCAAGTCCTGAAAGCCAGATGTAAATTGTGAATATATGTTGAAATTCAGTGATTGGCTGTGCCCCACCTGCTGCATCTCACTATAGGATAGGCAGCTCACCGGATTTGCACAGCAGCTAGTATAGGGTTGTGGGATGGGTTGATCCAAGCATCAGTTTCTTTGATAAAATGTGTGTATGCGTCAGAGCACCCTGGGTTTTTGGGCTGCTCGAGAAAAGAGAATTGTATGAAGTCAAGCATGGGTGCCTGCTAAAATATGGAGCAGTCACTTTGTTGTATTCTTGTTCCCCACAGGTTTGCTGAATATAAATTCCTGAACACGACACCTCATCTGAAGCTGACTTTTTAGTAGAACCTAAATGTTCAGCTTTTTTCCTTAACATTTCGTACCTGCTCTGTGCAATGGTTTTGCACAGAGCAGCCCCGATCCTCCTCTTTGCGGGTCCTGGCCCCTCCCCCCCCCCCACCCTGCTTGGTTCCCCCAAAGCAAGCGGCTTCACTGCCAAGCCGCCTGTGTGTGTCTGTAAGACACAGAGCATGGCTTGGCCCTGCCACCCCTCTCCCTCCTCATTGGCCATGATGTGTCTCTGCCAATGAGGTGGGGGGCAGCAGCTGCTCTTGTGCACATTGCTGACAGGAGCTGCACATTGAAAGTTCACCTCGTCATAGAATGCATGAAGGTAAAAAAAAACCTTGAGTCCTTATGCACGCTGGAGGTTTGTACAGCGGCTGTTTTCGGCTTTTGATGTTTTTTTTTTTTTTTTTTTTTTCTACAGCCAGTAAACCCCCCAGCATGTTATCCCATGTGTCCATACACACATAGACTGGAATCAACGTTTTTTGGCTGGAAAGAAAACCACAGAACTAGTGGGTTTCTAGAGGAGTTTTTTTTAGCTGTAAAAAACGCTGAAAAACATGGTAAATTGCGGCAAACAAGCATTTTTGGACTTTTTGACAAAAAAAAAAAAAATGTTTTTTTTTTGGTAAAAAAAAAAAGTTAAAAGCAAACGCGTAAACACGCGGCAAAACGCCACTAAACTCTTATACAAAAACGCTGAAAATCTCTCGTTTTTAACGTGACTTTGCACAGCTAATGTTACCAGCGTTATTAAAACGCCTCGTGTGCATGGAGCCTTTTGAACCACTTAAGAGGTTCTTCAGTCTCAGCGAAAAAATAAAAAATTTAAAATTCAGCAGCTACAAATACTCTAGCTGCTGACTTTTAATATAAGGACACTTACATGTACAGGGATCCTGCGCTGTGCTCACCCGAGCCGGTTCTTTTACCTGTCTTTGGGTCCCCGGCGCCGGTATATCTAGTGTGGGAAGCCGGCCAAGCTTCCTTGCAGCTTCGCACAAGTAGCACTGCGCTTTGTGAATGGTCCTGCAGCTGCTGGGGATCTGTGACATGTCCCTTGAGGTTGTGGAAGGGAAGGGGGATTGTGCTGATCTAGGCAATCCCTAGACGCCGAGCGCACACAAATATGTGGCATCTGGGCCTTGACGCTGAGCTGCCGCATATTTACGTACCATTTGAAAATATGTGCTGCGAGTGCGCTCCCAGCACATATGTCCGTGACTCATGGAAAGGTCTGATCTCCCCTTGTGATCGGGACCTTTTCTGATCATGTGACAGCGAATCATGACCCTAAAACCCCGCTTCCTAGCTTCTGAAACCTTTTAAAGGGCTGTGAGGCGCCGACGCAAAGGGGTTTAGCGGGTACCTGTTAAACCTAGGTACCCGATTCATTGCCGCCACCACCCCCCCAAAAAATAAAACTTCTAATGTTGTTAGAGGAGGGTGAATTCCGAACAGCAGAACTTCCCCTTCAAGTTTCTGCTTTAAGTGTAGCCTCCCTAGCGGTCTGATTACGTCCATATTTCTGTGCTCAAAGCAGTACCTTTTTTTTTGCATGGAAATATGTATTTTTTTTTTTATTGTAGGCCTGTAATTTTTAGGAATAACTCACTGAAATCTGTCCGAACAAGAGTCTAGTAAACATCCCGGGTAGGATAAAATTTAAAACGCGAAATCATAAATTAAAATTTAATAAATCATAAAAAATAATATAATAATAATAATAAATTTAATTCAATAATATAATCAAACCAAAAACACTGAAATGTGAAATAGAGCGCCAAGTTCGCACATCACTGAGCAAAGTCGCAGAATCGTTTTCAGTGTCTGATGAGGAATTTCCCCCACAATCATTATCACTCAATTCTGCAAGTGGTTCTGATTTACTATCGCTGTTCTCTAGCCGGTCTAAAACCGCTTTTGACCTAAAGGGACGCTTTTTGGACGCCATGGACGTTTCTCAGTTTCCAGGCAGAAAGAACAGTAAAAATGCAGGCAGGGCGCCGGACAAAGCACTCGGGACAAAATGTATGTGAAATGGTTTGATACAGGAATGGAATACTATGTGATTTTAGTGAATGTCACTTTTTCCCATTTTTAATTTTCCCGCCATACGTCCCGACGTCGCAGGGAACGGAACCCGGAAGACAGATGACGGCATCGGCCGGAGGACATGGCCGGGGACACTGCAGGGGGGACATCGCGGGAGCGCAGGACAAGGTAAGTGCAGAAGAGATCCCGGAGCAACGCTGCGGTGTATTCCCAAGTGTAGCTCGGTGTTACCGCTTGTGGTGCTGAAACTTTACCCCGAGCTACACTCGGGAATACCGCCAGGGGGGTTAAAATTAAATTTGAGCCATTGACTTTAATGTAACCCTTAGGCTACGTTCACACTACGTTTGTGTGCAGGTGGCAGAGAGGCGTTTGGGAAGCGTTGTTACCTCTGCCAATTCTGCACATTACAGCACATGGTGCTGTTCTAACGGGAGCGTTTGCATTGCGTCGCGGCAAAACGGACGCCTCTGGTCGAGTCAGGAAGCGTTGAAGCCTCCTATTCTAGTCTAGGGTGCCGCTCCGCAAACGCCCAGCCGGCGTTTTGCAGTGCGGTTGTGACACGGTTTGCGGGGGGTTTGCGGAGCGGGTAACACCATTCAAATTGTATTATAGGCATTTGTGGGGCGTTTTTAACGCTTGGCAAACGCCTAGCAACCGCCGCTAAACTGCGCATGCGGCGCTTGCCGAGCGTTAAACGCTCCGCAAACGCCGGACCAACGCTTGCCAAACGCTATAGGGGCGTTTGGCAAGTGTTGGTAAAACAGCCAAGTGTGAACGAGCCCTTAAAGCTGCTCAGAAGTAATGCTGCAGATTGAGATTCAGGCACCAAAAGGTGTCCAATCTTACCTTTCCAGTGCTTTCCTGACACCCAGACTACTGATAGACCCCTAAAATTCCTGTACAAGTTTGCTGACAGCATTTGAACAAACTAATCCTTCAACAAATTAAGCTCAAACTTTCAGTAGACTTCAAATGACTAAAGTTAGCCGTACATTTTTGAATGAACCTCGTATGAAATTGTGCCCGTTCATATGAAAGTTCAATTTTTGTAACTTGACAAATGTTGTTTTGAAAGTACTTAAATTTTTTGTTTTCTTTTACGTTTAATTTACGAGTGAATGGACAAAAACCACATATACTCTTAGAAATTTGTTCTTTTGAGAAACATTTCCCATCCTGATCCTTTTGAATTTTCTCATTACTGTTAAAAAAAAAAAAAAAAAAAAAAACACTGCTTTGATCCCACTAAAGATCCGAAAATCGAATGGACATTCTTAAAACGGGCGGACTGACCATTTGGAAACTCGGGCACTGCCTTTTTTTTTTTTTTTTTTTTTTTAAATGGCTCTGGTGGTTTATGCATTTGCAGCTATGAGCTGTGACAATTTAATTTCTGTAATGGACTGTAAAAAAAAAAGAAAAATAGCGGCTGTTGTCACCAAAGTAGTCCCCTTGCGACACACTTTTCTACACGATTGTGCCACTGCCAGAAACATTGGTGGTTGGTCAAGTTTTGGAGTGGATTTGGGGCCAGGAACACGCAAACATTTAATGCATCATGTGCAGGAGCATTGTCGTGGTGGAGAATCCATTTGTCAGGCCAGAGTTCCGGTATTTTCCTCCGAACAGATTCCTGTAATCTTTTCATTCTCCTTATTTGCATCTGTCCTTTGTTTTTTTTTTTTTTTGTTTTTTTTTTTAGCTGCGCACTGCTTGCGTCATCGTGGACATCTTCCTGCCCCTTCTTAAAGCGGTTCTTCGGTCTCTTTTTAAACGTCCTTCCAACAGCATTGTTTCACCCTCTTTTAAGTACAAATGGATAACAAAATTAAAATTTTCTAGCTGCAAATACCTTTTTTTTTCTTTATAGTTCCTGATCACTTCCTATTTCCCCTGCTTAGGCAAATGATGTCAAACTTCTGCTCCTGTTGACTCCTAGGATCTTTTTTTCTTTTTGTGAGTGGAGGGGAGTTGGAGGGCGTGGAGAAGAGCTGAAGGAAGGCGCAGGACATGCAGGGATGGGCGTAGAGGGGCGGAGGATGGACTCTGATGTTTTACTGCACATGTGCAGACTGTGTACCGCGTGGACATCTTCCTGCACATGTGCAGACTGTGTACCGCGTGGACATCTTCCTGCACATGTGCAGACTCTGTGTACCGTGTGGACATCTTCCTGCACATGTGCAGACTCTGTGTGCAGCGCATGCGCGGACTTGTATTGCAGAGGGTGGAGAGGTCACATTAATTCCCTAAAAACTGAGGGTGTTGGCTTCAGCTGCCCTCAGTTGCGATGGCCATTGTGACATGCATGGTTAGTGTAGTTAAAAGCTATTTTTTACACTGCGGAATGGAACATTTGGAAAAAAAAAAAATGAGTAGCTAAGTCACATCATCGCAGTTTTTAGATGCTGCATGTA